GGAGTCTGAGCTGCCAAGAAGGGAGCCCGAGGAGCAGCAGGAGGAAAAGCAGTGGAGGAAGCGGGCTCCTGAAGCGGATGAAAGCGAAAACGTTTCTCTGCATAACAAGAACATGCAACCGGCTGGGCAACATGCAAACATGCAACTTCTTGTCCTGGCGAAGCTTCTGCTCGCGATCCTCTGCCTGCATGAAATGCAACCATGCATGCATGCATGCAACAATGCAAAGATACACATCATGCAACTTCATGCAACTCAGCTGCATCCAAGAAGAGCTGCTCCACAAGTAGTTCCAGCTGGGTCTTCTCGTCTTTGAGCAGCTGCACACGGGCTTCCAACCGCTGGATCTGACCCAGATAGCTTGCTTCATTTGCCCAAGCCACAGTGGAAAACCCTTGGAAGATTTCCACGATCGCCTGGCAAAGGCCTTGGCTCCAAACGGGAAGAATTGCCTCCGCCTCCCATTTGTCCCACGGCACGTAGACCCTGCCCTGTGGCAAAAAGTCGCCCTCGATGGATGCCAGCACCTCCACTCCGCTCCAGTCGTCCTCCTCCACGACGGAGCTCGCCACGACCCACCACGGCGAGCCCCGAAGCCTGAAAAGCCATGCCGGAGTGGGATCCGGGTCATCCTCGTGCCACGACTTGCACAGCACAGGGCAATTGTTCAGGCTTCGCCCGCTGTGCCGCCACGGACCGTGAATGATCCTGCATTCCGTCCTTGGATGCACAAAGCACACTTGCGAACCGAGACATGTGAAGAAGCGACACACATGCACACAGCAAGCAATGTCATGCATGTACACTGCAGGGCATCTATGCATGCTTCTTGCAGCACGATGCAAGTGTGCATGCATGATGCAAGCTCTTGCTGCTGGCATGCATGGTCCAAACAACATGCAAGACCATGCCATCCAACATGCAATCACAACCGCAAACAGCAAGCATGCTGGAAGCAAGCATGCATAAACCCTGCAAACTTGCAAGCATTCCATGCATGCTTCAAGCAACCTGCATGCCATCAACATGTCGATCAGGATACAACCTGCGAAAAGCACCGATTTCTTTGTCCCTGGCATCATATCATCATGTCCTGTCACCAGCACGGTGCCTAGCCTTTCACTTCTTCTTGAACTTACCAGTCTTCGAGTAGGCTCTCGTGGCACCCGAGCACTCCTCACAAGCACCCTGCAAGTAGCCCAGCACTGCTTCCAGAGACGAGTTCTCGATCAACACTGCCGGGCACGAGGTTTGATGGTTCTCAAGGCAAAACTCTGCAATCGTATCGTCCGGCAAGGTGATGCTCTTCACATTCGTGGTCAACAAAATGCTTCGTTTCCTTTTCATGCCCTTCTTGTCGCCCGGCTTCTTTTCGAACAGCTCTTCCTGTTCTTCGTTTTCCTTTGTCAGGAACCCTGCAAGCACTGCCTCTAGCAACTCTTTCATTGCAGCTGTGTTCGCGAGGGTGATGTTCTTGGTTCGCTTGTAAGCTTCAGGGCATACGAGTTTGCACAGCCAATAATGACTGCCCACCAATTTCAAGTATTTCTTCCCCTCGTGCTCCAGCACCAAGTCTGAAGGGATGACCAAGCCGAGACCGTGGTCTCTTGTCTTGATCTGCAGCACATGTGCCACTTCCACGTCCATGCTGGCTAAAGGCTACAAGCAACAAGGATGATACAAGAGAACACCTTGAACATGCAATAGATGCATGACAAGCTTTGTGAGACTCAATGCAAGGCTCGTACTCACTCGAAAGCTTTCAACTGCCCGCATGCAATCTCTGTTTTTCGGCACGTGTGTGCAACCGCCTCCTTCTGTTGTTCTGCAACATTCCAATAAGGATATGCAACATTCCACCAAAGGTGGAGCAAAAGAATGACCCCTCATGACATGATCCTTTCAGGATTTAGACAGTGCCCGGCCCCTTCGTTCTAAGTCGCTTGACCGGAGACGGGGGAGCCGGGGCCGAGGATTGAGCCTCCTTGGCGATGAGGCTGTCACTGGCACAGTAGAGAAGTTCTCCTGGTGCCAAGTCGCGACGGTTCAAGTAGCTGGGCACCTTCAGGGAGCCAAGCTCCTTATGCACGAAGGTCATATTGACCAGCTCCTTCTCGTTGGTTGCACGAACATACCAAAACGGCACAAGCAAGGACTTGTCGTCCAATTTCTCGAAATCGGACACAACCTTGGGCCCCTGGAGCAAGTACGTCCCGACCCAAACACCATCCTTCACCTTGCTAGGCTCCTTGACAATTGTAAGCTGGCCAAAAGCAACCAGGGACAGGGCACCTTTCCTGATGGGGGCCGTGACCAACAAGCCCGAAGGCGGGGTCACGAAGCTGATATCCTTCTTGTCATCGTGCTTGGCAATGAACTCTCGATACAACTCTAGCTGAGCCTGCCCCAACTCAAATGCCTCGGCCTGCATACGGCTAGCCGACACGGTGTACCCCGAAGCTTTCACGGCATCGAGAACAACAGGCTGAACTCGCTTCGTCTTCTTCCAATTCCCCAACTCAGCCGAAGCTGGCACCTGAACCCTCATGGGTTCCCCGAGCAAAGACTGGTGCTGGAACACGACTTTGTCATCCTCAACACCTACCATGACAAAGATTTTGGTGCCGTGATCCTTGTGTACAAAGCTGCCACCGACATGCAAGTGCTTGTGCTGCTTCAGAACCACATCCGTGAAGCTAGCCGTCAACATGTTCTCAACAACCGGGGCGGAGTCTGTGGATGAACTGGCCGGTCCAGAGGACATGCCCAAGAGTTCCATACCGAAAGCTTTGGAAATCTCAGCGAGACTCCCCATTTCTTGTCCCTCCCGTCCCTCTTTCTCCTTCTGACACAGAAAGAGTGCCACCCGAACTGAGCATCGACCGTAGGCCTGCATCCTTTGCTTGGCATCAACATTCGCGGCTTGCACCGTGTCCCAGCAGCCCTTCAGGAGGTTTTCCGCTTCTACAAGAGGTCCCTTGTTTTTGAAGTTCTTCAGTTTCTCGATATCCGACTTGAACAACAACTGGGCCACTTTATCAACAGCTTTTGGGCTGGTGATTTGTGCTGCAAGAAGTGCGACCCGTAGACACGGCAGCAAATTCCCCTCCACTTTGAAGTCGCAATAGGTAACGGCTTTCATAAACACCGACCCCAGCACCCGGCTGGCACCGTAGACCTTTCCGAAAGCCCCCAAAAACTCCAACAGAGGGAAACCTTCGCCTCCTCCATAACGAGCCGCGAAATGGGCCAGGACGTCTATATAGTCCTTACATGTAGGTTCGGCCTCGAGGCATTTGTCCTTTGCCTGCTGCACACTCATGCCATGCAAGGACACATACCTTCCGATCGTCATCAAGACTTCGATTTCGCTCTGGCTGACTTGGACCGAGTTGGTCGAATTTAACCCCGATGCTAGAAGAAGGGGCATCGATGGGAATTCTTCCTCAACGAGGTCTTCGATGATTAACCACCGCCATCCCGTGTGCAAGCACGTTTTCAATGGTCCATCCTTCTTGCTCAGGTGGGTTTCAGGGAGGATGCCGGACAGCATTGCTCTCATGTAGGCGGTTGAGTGGCTGGAGCCTACCGACAGGTACCTCTCTGCACCGCTGGGGGGAGCAAGTAAGTCGGGGTGATGGCTTGCCAAGAGCTTGTTCGCATTCACCTGAGACTTTCGCTTCTCTTCTTGCTTGGACAGACAAAAGGCGACACTGGATGCCTCCAGCAGATCCTGACGGACTCCTTGCTTCATGAGGACCTCACCCTTCTGAACCACATCATGGCCATTCAACATGCTGCCACCTCTGTTGGAAGGATGACACAAAACCAAACTGGGGGACACGACTTCATGGCGAGCAAGACCACTGTCCAAGAAAATCTTGGTCAACTTCGTGATCTTGACGTTCACCCCGTCATCCGACTCCATGACACGACCGACCTCAACCTTGACCTCGTTGGTCAAAGCCATGATCGCGATGACGAGGATCGGGAGGAAATAATAGGGAGCACGATGCACAAGCGGCTTGGACAAAAAGACACATAGAACACACAGTCATACAACTCCAAACATGCCAGGCCACACAACCATGCAACTCCAAGCATCCATGCAATCATGCAAGTCCAAACATGCCATGCCATGCAACCATGCAACTGCAAGCATCCATGCAATCATGCAAATCTAAAAATGCAACAAACATGCCATGCCATGCAACCATGCAACTCCAAGCATCCATGCAATCCTACAAGTCCACACATGCCATGCCATGCAACCATGCAACTCCGAGCATCCATGCAACCATGCAAGTCCAAGCATCCATGCAATGATGCAAATCCAAACATGCAAGCCATGCAATCATGCAACTCCAAGCATCCGTGCAAGCATGCAAGTCCAAACATGCAGGCCATGCATTGATGCAAGCATCCATGCAATCATGCAAATCCAAGCATGCAAGCCATGCAATCATGCAAGTCCAAGCATCCATGCCATCATGCAAATCCAAACATGCAAGCCACCCAGCCATGCAACATCCAAACATGCAAGGAAAAGCTATTATACATACAGAACTTTGCAGGCAAAAACTGTTTAACTGTTTCTTGTTGTCATTCCTGTCCGGCCGACAACAAAATATATATGGACTTATAAAGCTTCTCGAGTTCCCAGCACAGAATGGAATTGTATCCTTGCTAAACCAGGTTAGCCCATTTAGCTTACATGTCTTATCTACATTAACCTCTTTAATTTAACCCTTTATCTTGATTAAAGCTAACCCCATCAAACAGCTTAAGTTGAGTAAGAACATTAACTTCATTAGTATAAGCCACCTATCCCCTGTATACTTTTAGCTTTCCTATAAATACTTAGATACATGTTAGATATGACTTCGAAACAAATTATAAATACTTGCTTTTTCGTTGCATCACTTAGCAACCACCCGGCCCATCCAAGTAGTGGTAGTAGTAGTAGTAGCAGTAGTAGTAGTCAGTATAGTAGTAGTAGTAGTAGTAGTAGTAG